GATGTAATCACGGAATTCCGCCGTGACAGACACCCATAGTAGAAAAGGCCCCAAGCTGCACACTCTGTTTTTCATGTACTCTTATACCGGGAGAGAGAGAGAGAGAGAGAGAGAGAGAGAGAGAGAGAGAGAGAGACGTATAGTCCATCAGCCAGTGGTGCCAAAATGAGTCCCCTGTTGCACTTACAAATCGAACACCTGGAACTGACATCAATCGACAGCAAAAGCATCACTGAATCCGACCTGCCTACTTTCCCTGGCGAAACTCTTGCACTCCTTTTGCAGTGCGCCTTGGAAGTTCGACACATTTCTTCTTCTTCATCAGCCATTACGAGGTTTTCCATCCGTTTTATCAGGATATCCAATGCGTCTTCAGTGAAAAACGTGGAGTTTTGTCAACGTTTGGTGTGGTTTTCCGTGGCGATCGACCTAAACTCGCGAAATAAATCGCCGTCGATTTGAGCAGAGGTGAGTTGGCTTGGAGCACGTACAGATTCAAAAAATATGTGTACATGTGCACCGGGAAGAAGATGAAGATGCTCACCATTTTCAAATAACTAATTCAAAAAAACTACATGACTATTGTACTGCAATTGTTGTAGTTACTTGTTTGCAACTACAATGGTATCAAGTAGATAATCAAGCGAGGTAACGTTACAGAGGGATTGATGGCTGATCAAAGCCCAAGGGACCAGCCCGAGGGCTTTGATCAGTCATCAAGCCCGACCGTACCTCGCTTGAATATGCTTCAGACGATCCCCAACAATTATTTTGATTTTGAATTCAATCGCTTTATTCTTTGGGTGATCTCGAGTGTGGTAGATAGTACTTCGAAGTAGTACAACTGTAACTGTACTACTACCTGGTTGCAACATGTTCAAAGCAGCCTTGCCTTTATTTCAACTGTTTGCTGTCAGCATCCAGAGCCATGGCGTTTGCTAGTTGGTCGTAATGGAGAAGAGAACTGCAGGGCATTCACTCGATGTACAACATGCATCGCCGCAGATTCCTTACTTTTAGCTCTCCACGTTCCTTATTTTTCCAGGGATCAGGACCTTCCCGGGGCGATTCCATTCAGGGTGGAAGCGTAGATCACTTTTGCCAAACAGTAAAAACTACGCTTCAAACCTGCTTGACATGACTCGGGGTGCATACTTCGGAAACCCGAAGGTGGATGATGTTCAATACTAGCTCATTGTAATCTTCCTGAAGGTATGTATTCGGATGCTCAATTAAATAGAACAGTGAAAGAGATATGTAATGGAACAACACTCTACAAGTAGGCGAACAACAATTTTATTGTAATTTGAATCCAGGCACACGTGTAATACGGAAACTGCAATGGTTTACACTGCAAATCTTCTCGATTTGCAAGGTTTTTCCCGTAATTCACAAAAATCTGAAAGTTCATTTCTGAAACGCGCATGGCACTGATTGGAGATTGGGTTTAGGTCACAACAATGGCTGTCGATGAAATGCCAAAAATGGTCACTTTGTCGGCTTCCCCCTGCAGAGCGTGCAAGTCGTTTACTCTTTTTATTTGCGGATTCGGTGTACAGGGTACCTAAACTCCCCATTGAGGCCAAAATCAAGTATTCGATTTCTAAGTGCAACAGGGTGCTTGAATTTGACGACTTCTGAGTTCTTGGCTGATGGACTAGTACAGAGAGTGAGAGAGAGAGAGAGAGACGTACAGAGAGATGGACAGCAATATGAAAAAGGGTAGCAATTTTACCTCCACTATTCCATGTTGCCGCCTTGTCTCCACGATCCAGAATAGCCATGACAACCGTGTTGACAATATGGTCGACAAGGTGACGACTTAGCTTAGTTCCATTACGGACTGCTTCCGTTGCCGAGCGTGCTGTGAAATCCTTGAGCCATGGCGAGGAGGGCAGTGGCGATGACGACGACGACGCCAGAGATGATGAAGACTCGGCTGGTGCGGCAGCATTCGAAGGCTGTGGCAGTCCGCTGGTGGCTTCTGGTTCCTGGTGTGTTCGGTTGTTAGTGTCAGGTATTGTCAGCGGGTTAGAAATCTCCGTACAGCATCCAATGCTGTTAACCTGAGTACATTGGCTGGATGAAATGCAATGGCCGTTGCTGCCGTTAGCCGAGGGAACTGATGCATTGGCGTCAGACTGTTCACCTTCATTGGTACACAGTCCAGGTGACGGTGCAAGCGCTTTGTCCGCGATGCATCCGTCACATGTCATCGCGTGATCACGCCCGTGCGATCCGGCAGCGGCGTTTGACTCGCTCACACAAGCTGCTGCACTGCCACCATTGCTGGGCTGCTGCTGACAGTGTGAAATGAGCTGATGACGCTGCTGTTCAATGTGCTGCTCATCCTCCAGCGGGTATGATCTCGTCTGTCCGACTAGGCACACCTGTACGACAACACAAAGTACAGTAAACACATGTCAAGTCCACCACTCAGTCTCTGATACAGTGATCACCTGTCCTAGAGGACCACTACAACCAGGAACAAGGGATGCTATTTCCAGTCAAATGACCCTGGATAAGGAGACCACCTGGTACCAGAGACCACATTTTGAAGGTCCCTTGAGCGGTCGTCTTAGACAGGTTTCTCTGTACATGGTGTGTGACCATGCTGGTCAGCCATCTCACCGTTGACAATGCAACGTACATAAGTTACATGCGGGCAATAGGACAGCCTAGCCTAGCAAGTGGCAAGCAGATCGATGTGTGTGTGTGTGTGTGTGCATGCATGCGTGCGTGTGCAAGCGTGTGCGCGCATGTGTGTATGGGTGCATGAATGTGTGTGCATGGATTTCTGTAATCCACACACCTGCCTACATAGATACCTGGCATGTCTGTTACCCTAAGTGTTCCCTAGGCAGTTGAGAGGCTCCGCAAAGAAAAACTGAATATCCCACAGGACTGTAACTGACTTACTCGTTTTGTTGATGGAATTCTCATGACGTCCATTGCCACATTGAAACCGCACTGTTCACAGATAGACTCAATATAGTCTAGGTAGCACAGATACTGACTACGGCTGTGCCCGCGGCGCACAAACTGTCAACAATACATACACGCACATACACACACACGTACAGACACACACGTACACACACACACACACGTAAACACGTACACACACACGTAAACACGTACACACGTACACACACACATATTCATATTATCTTGTAACACATACACTCCAGTTTCAAGCACTAGTATTCGGACCTCAAAGAACCGGGCAATATCACCCAAACAAGCTTTTTGACAGTTCGTGCCAGAGTCGGTCAGACCCACTTTTCCACATCTGCAGGGATGTCCACACGATCAAGGATCAAGGCCCGGATGCAGCTTCTGAAGCGGTGGGAGGTGAGCAGATCAGACTCACCACAAAGTGATCATAGACCGAAAATACCATCTATGTTTCCCTTGTGACTGGTAGATCTACCCTGTGTTCCTCAGTCATGATCTTAGGCCATCCCACTAGGCCTGCCTGCTAAACACACTACTTCTAAAATGCGGAAAGCTCATGCACATTGGTGGTGTTTGTGTTTGTGCTGGTGCGACACCAAGGAATACGATAGACAGCGTGTAGGTGCTCGTGCATTATCTCACTGGGATACTGCACTGTCATTGCGATATAGCACTGTCCCCGAGATAATGCACTGCCACTAAGATACAGTCAGACCTCACTTAAAGGGGAAGTTAAGGCAAAAATAAATTTTTCACCAGTTGTAGTCTTCGGGGTGCTGAGTCGAATGGTCTTGGTCCGAGAAAGCTGAGACGCTCCCTTCCTACTTGAATCCCAATCGAACTCGCGCACTTCCACCGAAACTGGGTGACTGCGCCCTACTAGATGGGGATTTGTATGCAAAATGTCACTAAAAGCGCCATTTCGTTCTTATAAAAGCACGGATGACCGCGACTGGCCCATATGTTGTAGTCTTTTGGACGCTGAGTCGACTGGTTTTGGTCCGAAAAGGCTGCGATGCAGCGTTCCTCCTTTATTCCCAAT